CCCGACGTACTCGCCGACGAGTCCTCAGTACTCGCCGTCGAGCACGAAGTACTCGCCCACCAGTCCAACGTACACGCCAACCAGCCCGAGCTACTCGCCGACGAGCCCGACGTACTCTCCGCCGGTGCCGGGCTACTCGCCGACGAGTCCTACCTATTCCCCGGCGTCGCCGGCTTACGAGACAGACGACTAAGTATTACGCATATCTCTATGAATGTTTATCATTAAACACTCAGTATGGAGTAGGTATAAGCATGGTAACTCGTAGTTGCCGCGACTCTGAATTTTCTAAGTCCGTAAATATACACTTAGCGTAAGTTTCTGCACAATTTGTACGATTCTCGTATCCGTTGCCTGTACGATTGTAGACGGTGTCGTTTCTCCGAGGTCGGGGAAGAGGATCGGACACTCGGGGCGAGCGACGGCCTATAGCCGGCCGTGACGATGAAGGATTATGCGTGTTCTTGCAGGGCATTATGGGCTTACGGATATATAGCGATTTGCATACATGCATACGGAAGAACGTTATCGCGAATCGAGTTCAATCGAAGTCACGGTATTATACACAAGGAGACGATTGTGTCCGTAAGTCCAAAGTGTCCTATGGGGTTCGACATAGTCCTTGTTTTCCAACGTTCTTGTAGCATACATTTTTATCGTTCACTAAAGATAATTCTTATGTGTTTGATTAGTAACGCGATGAATGGGGGAGTTCACTGTATGGAGAAGACAGTAGACGCTCTTGTGGGTCTTCGTTTCACTCGCCTCGCGTCCGAGGAAGTCGTTCGCCGCGTTCGATAGAATATCAAGTTACGTTTTACGTGGGTAACTTTTTAACCGCACGTGGAAACCGGTTCGCGTCCACGTCGATGCCGGACAGTGCGGGTTACTCTGCGAAATGAATCGCGAGAGACTGCCGTTGCTCCTCAGAGAGGCGAACTCGAACTTGTCGCTTCTGTTCGCCACGTTATGCGTCATCGACATATTCGGCGTATTTCCGATCATCGCGTTGCCGCGCGCAATCGTCGAGTGCGGTAAGTTTACTCGTCAATTGTTTCTTCTTCTTCTCCGTTTTTTTTCTTTTTCTTTCCGCGACGCTGCTGAGTTGCCAATCCAAAAGTTAATGTTCGACGATATTTTTAATTAATCACGCCGAGACTTTTGTGAATATTCTTTCATTACGTTAGCTTAGTTGTTAGTTTTAAGGCGCCTGGTATGTATTGCCGGGGATTTATTTTATAAACTATAATATATATGTGTATATAAATACACACAGGTACAGACACACACATACACACGTACACGTACACATACACGAGCATATAGTCGATTGTAAGTACAATGTAACATTGTTTCACAGAATATTTTATTTAAATTGAAGCGGTTTATATTATTGACTTGTATTTTGAATGATTATTGTAAGAAATGTTTATGCGATGATGCGCGAGGAATCGTGAGAGAGTGAGAGTGTGTGAGAGAGAGAGAGAGAGAGAGTGTTGAATATTTGAAGGAAATAAAGTTGGTTAACTTGTTAAAAAAATATTTATTGTAAATACCTAGTTCGGTGTCTCGCGCTGATGATATTGAGCTGTAGTAATATAGATATTGTAGGGATTGAATTTAATCTTTTAAAACGACCGAGAATAAGGGTGAACGTGTTGTGTAATTTTTAGGATTATACGGGATTCCCCTCGTTTTCGTTGTGTTCGGTTTGCAAATTTACACAGCGGTTCTCCTTGGGAAATCATGGATGATTGCGACTACTCTAGATCCACAAATATCACGAAAAAATCGGTAATGTGTTACCAATTTTTAGTTTATATGGGAATTAAATAAATTTTATATTTTTTAACGTAGAGGCATTCTGTGCGTGATTAAGTTTTATTTGATGAATTATGATCTTCCTTTCAGACACCCTCTTGCTGCTGTGACTGAATTAACTTTAGGTACTCGGGCGAGGACTTTAGTCACTATAATTCTAGATCTTACTGTGTTCGGTTGCAGTATACCTAACTTATTGGTTGGTACGTTCTTGTTATAGCTTCAACTAATGCTGTACATTGTTAGGTACATGTTGATTATAAATGACTGATAAATTTCAGCTTCGCAAAATTTACAATTGTTTGGATCCAGAATATCAGGACAACGATTCGATCTGTCTTTCTGCTATTGGCTTCTAGTTGTGGGTGTACTTTTATGTCCAATTATGTGGCTTGGAAGTCCACGTGATATGAAGTAACTCATATCAATTTCAGTGATATGTTCAATCTTTTTTAAAAACAATAAAATTTTATACAAATGTAGTATAAATGAGATTACATATATGTACATTGTATATGTTGATTGCAAGTTTCGAACAACTTCAAAATTTACAGTACATTACAGAAATAATTTTCAGAATATTGGCAACGTTTTCCTGTATGGCAGTCTTGTTAACAGCGATGTTGATATGGTGGTGTATAGTTGCTGATAATCGAGAACTGAACACTTTACCAGTGCCTACTTCTCCTTCCTGGGATAAATTTATTTCTGGGTAAAGCATTGCAAAAGTTAATGCTGTTACCTCCAAGACAATATTTTTCATTAAATAATTTTTTAGATATGGAATGCTGGCATTTCAATTTGACGTGCATCCAACATTAATGACTGTCCAAGTGGATATGCGTCGTCCTCAAGACATCAACAAAGCTGTTTTAATTTCTTTCTTGGGTAACAATATTCTTTCCTTAATTCAATCATTTTCTCTATTATTCCTATCAATAATCAGTACCATTTATTATAGTGAGCGGTTCACTGTTTGCTGTTACTACTGGTTTAGCTGTCTGGAAATATGGTGGTAGTACAACAGCCAATGTTTTGCAAATGGTTCCAGGCGATTTTACTATGAATGCAGCTATACTACTCGCTTCTCTACAATTATGTTTCTCTAGTGCTCTTGGTCACTCTGCACTTTTTCAGGATTTAGAAGATCAATGGAATATTCAACCATGTAAGAGTTCAAGAATAATATTCTTTGTTAGTCAAATCAAGAAAACCTAATTGCATCAATGTCTTACTACAAGTATCTTGCACTGTATATACTTGTTCATAGCTTTTGGATGGAAACGGTGTGCCGTAAGGTCAGCCATTATCTTTCTTGGAGTGGCTGTAGGAGAAACAGTACCAAGGTTCGATATTGTAATGGCGCTCATTGGAGGATCTCTAACGGGTCCATTAGTCTTTGTGCTTCCTCCATTGGTATATTCGAAAATTATGGCTTTAAAGAAAAGATCCATGCGTACATCAACGCCTGACGTGTACTCTGGGTCTGAGAGACGTAGAAGCATTGGAGGAGGCATCTCAGCGGATTCAAGAATACATTCGAGGTCAATTTATTACGGTGTTCTAGGCATGCCAAAGAATGACTACCATCGATATTCATACGTTTATTACGACGAGCTGGAAGATGAGTTCGATGATATCGTAGGTTACGATGACAATACTGTTAACGTCAGGGAACCTAATGAACAATATTTAATGACAACAAGGAGGCATGATGGCGAACCAGTATTCATAGATGCCAGTCGTTCCTACAGAACCCATAGAAGAATAGTTCCTGAGGAATCAGTACGAAAGACGATTCTAAATTGCACTCTTCGAAGATGGCATGATTATTTTGGTTACCTGATCGTATTATTCGGTATTGCAGTTACCATTTCGTCGACGTACATAAATATAAAGAACACGATACGTTACGTCCAATTCACACCACCGTGTATCGTGAATGCCACTGTTTTACAAAATCCTGGATCAATATAAATGTCTTATTAACGGGAAGCATTACTGCACACGATCTTCTGTGTCATATTTATAGTACGTGCACAATAGCAAGACAGTTTATAACTGTACACATTACTAATTGAAGTTGTGTGAATAATTTTTTACAGAACATAGTATTACAATATTTATCTTACTAATTATTTAAAAATAATGTTGGTGATCAGTGTGAAACATACTTGACTTTTCTAATGAAATTTCATCATTTTTTTGATAGTGAATATATCATTTTCCCTGATTTAATATCCATTATCCATAGAAAAATTTCCTTTTAATATTCCACGTCGAAAAGAGTGTTTAAGAAGTTCAATTCAAATTTTTCTAAGCGGGCTTCGTACTTCCGGGACTTCGAGCCAGATGGCAGCACTGTGATAATAAAAAATTCGCGCCCTTTGATAAACACGTGGATTTTAAAATTCTTCTTTAAATTAAACTTGCATTTTATCTGAAATATATCTGTATTATTCTATATTTTTATTTTGTTATTGTGTTTGAGAAATCCCATCGACAATGAGGCATTTTTGAATATATAAATATCACATAGATGGAAAATTGTTTCATAACATCATACACGTGTTCAAGAGCATCGAGCATTGATAATCAGCTGATTTGATTAACTATTCTTAACCACGAAGGTTACCTTGAAAAATTCAGCTATCAAATATATGTGCCATGACTTCCGTACTTAGACAAATAAGTGTCAAAATCAGAATACCGATCATCGAATACATTTGATTCAATTATTTCACGATTGCTAGACACTGTAATTGTATCAACGTCTACGTTACGAATCTGGCGACATTAAAATAAATTATACACAAAAATATAGTATAATTCAGAATTATCGCGTATTCCGATAAAATATTATTTCTATTGTTATTCTATTTAATCTATACCTCTGTTTAGCTTATATTTAACATTTTTCTAAGTCATGTCCCTCGTAGTGAACGACACATTACGTCACATCATCCAACATTTTTTTTTTAATAAATTTAGTGGAGGGGATAAGATCCAACCTGTGACGTTTACGAACCAGATCTTACGATACTGTCCGCGCCAAACGAATGAGCCGTCCTCGTCGGATCCATTTTGTCTGCAAACATTAATTCCTCGTCAATTCGCTTGATCTCGATCGTGATCAAGGAAAAGATAATCAAAGATGATTCCGACGTGCATCAGAAATATCGGTGTGCAAACATCGAAACGCAACGTGAGTACCAAAAATCCGACGATCAACGAATGACCTCTAGCTTAGCTACTTGCCAATACGTTCCATGCCAGGGTCTTGTTATAATTTCTAATCGTACTATCTTCCCTCAAACCTTGCGATTGATCGTTTGATCTTTCTTTTTTTATATCACCTGGTGTCTCGCCAGTTCGGGAGCTGGAACGAGGTAATTATCTGTTGAGATTTGTGTATTATTGCCGACATCCTCATGCCGTGCTCAATTCTCCTTTCGCTACTTTTTTCGCTTAATCGTCACACTTTCCGTGAGTTCTTTCCTTGATGAAGCAACGTTTCAAATTCCGACCACTTGCACTAGCGGAGTTCCATTTACAAAGTGTTATGTTGAGACTGTGCACATTTACTTTACGTTGCATCCGTTTTATTATTTGTTTTTAGCATTTTTGTAGATATTTGAATATTGAGGTATTTACGATGCGAACAGTTTTTGCGGTGTAATAAAAAAGTGTTGGTTAAAAGCGATCGGCTGTAAGCGCTTGTATAAGTTGTTTATTGTAAATTCCTCGATTATGAAAGTTTATATACATGTGATTCTATGACTCTCTGAATCAAATGGGGAAAATTCAAATTTTCTGTACATTTTTAGGTGGTTTCCTTTTTCTTCAATAAGAAGAATAATTATGCCACGGAAGCTACATTCGAAACGAAACCTTTTCGGTTACACAAATTGGACAGTGGACCATCGACGCGCGTGACAGTAACGAAAGAGGAGGCATTAGAAATGTACAAGAAGCTGCACACTATCCGTCGTATGGAAACATCGGCTGGTAACCTGTATAAAGAAAAAATTGTCAGAGGTTTCTGCCATTTGTACTCTGGCCAAGTAAGTTGTTAAAGCACGAGTTACTAAATTTTTCAATAAGTTATGTCTAATAACATACAAACGTATATTGTTTTTATAGGAAGCTTGTGCAGTTGGCATTAAATCGGCCCTTAGATCTCAAGATGCTGTGATCACAGCCTACCGTGCTCATGGATGGACTTATCTAATGGGAATTGAACCATTCGGTGTTCTAGCTGAATTAACTGGTAGAAAGGGTGGAAATGCGAAAGGTAAAGGTGGCTCCATGCACATGTACTCCAAAAACTTTTACGGTGGAAACGGCATTGTCGGTGCTCAAGTGAGTATTAGAAACTTTTCAGACTTCTAAACTAACACGTACATAGATTATCAATACCTCATCAATTTCAAGTAATTTATACTCTTAGGAAATTCTAGAACAGTTCTTTCTAACATAAAACTTTTCAACAGAGAAGATTCCAGAAACTGTTGCAATCATTAAATCAAATGCTAATGCATTACAGCCATATAAAATTCACAGGTGCCATTGGGAGTTGGAATCGCCTTTGCACAGAAGTACATGAACACAGGAGGTGTATGTGTCACATTGTACGGAGACGGTGCAGCCAATCAAGGACAAGTATTTGAAGTATATAACATGGCTAAACTGTGGGATGTCCCTTGTATTTTCGTTTGTGAAAATAACGGATACGGTATGGGTACCAGCGTTGACCGTGCTTCTGCTAGCACAGACTACTACACAAGAGGAGATTACGTTCCTGGAATTTGGGTTCGTTTCCTTAAACGAGTAATCGTCATCGTTTCACGATAATTGTGTCAGAAAATAAATATAATTAAATATATCATTAGGTGGATGGTATGGATGTATTAGCTGTCAGAGAAGCTACAAGATTCGCCATAGACCATTGCACGTCTGGTAAAGGACCAATCGTTATGGAGGCTGTAACCTACAGATACAGTGGTCACAGTATGTCTGACCCTGGTACCAGCTACCGAACAAGAGAAGAAATCCAAGAAGTGAGGCAGACTCGAGACCCCATCACTGGTTTCAAAGAACGAGTCATAAATGCTAATCTCGTTACGCAAGACGAAATCAAAGTATACCATCTCAATGTTCCTTGATATTTAGATTTTTATATTAACTCTAATACTAATTAAACAATTGCTTTCTCGCAGGCAATAGAGAACGAAATAAGGAAACAAGTGGACGACGCCGTGAAAGCTGCCAAGGCGGACACTGAAATCCCATTGAACGAGCTCACTGCTGACATTTACACCAACTGCCAAGAAAAAGAAATTCGCAATACAACTCCCTTCAAACCTCTACCGCATACAAGGCTAGGCCCGGCAGTCAATGCTTAAAGAGAGCTTCTCTAAAAAAACAGTTTAAAGTGAATTAAATCGTATTAAACCTCGTTACTGAAAACAATACCTGCCAATGCAAAAACTAAT